TTTTTTTTTTTTTAACACAGAGCCAAATTTTTACGTATTTTAAAACCACCTCCTTGATCTAACACTGTTAGAAATGAATGAATTACCCAATTTTGTATTCAATTTTTTCCCTGTAACGTCACTTGGTTCTTGGCTACTAACCTTTCATGTTACTCTTGGTTTTGTCAGTTTGCTTGCCTGTGGGGGTTTGGGCCTGCTGACCCTGCCCACTGGAAGAGGCTGCCTGCTGTGCTGCTTTCTGCTTTAACATTGTCCAATCAAATGTGTAGTCATACTGGTGGTTCAGGGTCCTGGAAAATATAAAATTATGTATATTAATCCTTTAGTAAGAGTCCGGTTAAATAAATTGACTTACCATGAATATTTCCTCTTAAGTGTGGCAACTTCTAAAAAATTTCTCTCCCTATAGATGATTTTTTAACACTGCGACATATTACAATTGAGGAAAAATGATGTCACACCGCCCTAGTCTGTTGTATTGTATAAAAATGAGTCCTCTCCCTTTTTAAAATAAAAGCTGCTTATAAACTTCCTTGAAAGGGGCAGCTGAGTGGCGATGAAAAGGCAGTGTGAAAAACTAAGGCACTAAGCCAGGCAATCATTTATCAAGGGCGATATTCGCAATAGGAGGTACACTTCCTAGAAGTAACTAAGAGCAGGTAATGGAACTGGAAGCCTGTGAGTGAGATGTCTGTGCCAGTGCCTTGGGAAGACATTTTTGGGTTAAAGGATTCTTTAATTCTTATCCTCTTCCAACTAAGAGTTTGACTGTATGTATGTGATCTATTTGTTCCCCCTTAAGACGAATCCCGGGTTGTACCTAAGGAACCCTACTTTCGGACTGCTTCCACACACTATCAGACTCCATGACTAAGTGGTATCTTAATTGCTTTCTTATTTAGTACTAAACAGTCTTTGGTACCAAAGCTGGAGAGTTCCAGGGGGCACTGACAGCCACTTATATCTAATGTGAATCACAATTATTTTAGAAAAGTTAGATCCTGCTTTGAGTTTAATTCAACTGTCTCTCCACTCCAAACTAAAATCATCTCAAGGATATCTGAACTACATGTAGACAAATGCCACATTAGCCAAAAAGAAATCAGTTTCTTATAACCTTTATTCATATTGGTTAGATCTGCTTTACTTTAGTTTACCACTTATTAGAACAGATATGTTAGATGGATTTAACCAATTTCCCCTCACTGGAGTTTACGCTCTTAAAAATACCTTAAAAACTGACCTGAAAAGAATGCGGAATAGCTGCCTCAGATACATGTAATCCGGGGCTTCCTCAAAGCGCAGCCCACGACAATAGTTTAAGTACATGGCAAATTCTGCAGGAAACCCCTATAAAGTTCGAGGATTAAAACAAAGTAAAAAAAAAAATTTAAGATAGGAAAATAAATGTATTTACGTACAAGCAAAAACTGTATTTGAGTAGGGTGTTTTACCACTTTGTAGGAAGATATGAGCTAAAATAATTATGACTTGGTTTCCTTACATATTTAA